ATTATCAAGCCGTCCAAGAGCCCATGGGCATCCCCCGTGGTGTTGGTGAAGAAAAAGGATGGAACCCTACGTTTCTGCGTCGATTATCGCCGCCTGAACAAAATAACAAGAAAGGACGTGTATCCTCTCCCACGAATAGACGACGCACTTGATCGGCTCCATAACGCCAAGTACTTTTCGTCAATGGACCTCAAGACTAGCTATTGGCAAATCGAAGTCGACGAAAGAGACCGAAAGAAGACGGCATTTATAACACCGGACGGCCTCTTTGAGTTTAAGGTGATGCCCTTCGGCCTTTGCACAGCGCCTGCAACTTTTCAACGCGTTATGGATACAGTACTGGCAGGATTGAAGTGGCAGACTTGCCTTGTGTACTTGGACGACGTCGTCGTGTTTTCCTCGAGTTTCGACGAGCATCTTCGGCGCCTTGAAGCTGTACTTCAAGCCATCAAAACGTCCGGACTCACACTGAAGCCAGAAAAGTGCAGATTTGCGTATGAGGAGCTCTTGTTTCTGGGGCACGTTATCAGCAAGTCTGGAGTTCGTCCCGATCAGCGGAAAACAGCCGTCATCGCCAACTTCCCGCCGCCCACTGACAAGAAAGCCGTGCGCCGATTTCTGGGCCCGTGCCCCTATTATAGGCGGTTCGTGAAAAAATTCGCCCGCATCGCCGATCCTCTCACTAACCTTACCAAGGCCGACGTGGAATTCAAGTGGGAAACGCCACAGGAACACGCTTTCCAGGAGCTTAAACATCGCCTCCAGACGCCTCCGTTACTTGCCCATTTCGACGAATTCGCCGAGACAGAAATACATACTGACGCAAGCAGCGTAGGTCTTGGCACCGTTCTTGTGCAGAGGGCTGACGGACTTGAAAGGGTTATTAGTTACGCCAGCCGATCACTATCCAAAGCAGAAGCAATTTATTCCACAACAGAAAAGGAGTGCCTCGCCATCATCTGGGCTACGTCGAAATTTCGCCCCTACCTCTACGGCAGGCCCTTCAAAGTTGTGAGCGACCACCACGCCTTGTGTTGGCTAGCCACCTTGAAGGACCCTTCAGGTCGCCTCGCACGATGGAGCCTGAGACTTCAAGAGTATGACATTACTGTAATTTACAAGTCCGGCAAAAAACACTCCGACGCCGACTGTCTCTCTCGTGCGCCTGTCAACTAACCGCTACCCGACGACCCGGATGACGACTACTTCTTGGGAACGATAACTACAGACGACTTTGCTGAACGACAGCGGGCCGACCCGGAACTTAAGGCCCTAGTAGAATACCTCAAAGGCAGGACCGCCGAAGTCCCTAAGGTATTCAAGGGCGCACTTGCGTCGTTCTTCCTACGAAACGGTCTTCTACAAAAGAAAAAACTTTTCACCGCTTCGAGCTAAGTGCCTCCTTGTGGTACCTTCAGCTCTGCGACCAGAACTCCTGCAGGCCCTGCACGACGATCCGACGGCAGGGCACCTCGGTGTTTCTCGCACGCTCGCGAGGGTACAAGAAAGGTACTACTGGCCACGTCTTACCACCGACGTCACTCGTTATGTGAGGACATGCCGGGACTGTCAGCGACGCAAGACACCACCGACAAGGCCAGCGGGACTTCTGCAGCCAATTGATCCACCTTGTCGACCTTTCCAGCAGATTGGTATGGACCTACTAGGGCCGTTCCCGACGTCGGCTTTCGGAAACAAGTGGATCGTGGTAGCTACCGACTACCTCGCCCGCTACGCCGAGACAAAAGCCCTGCCAAAAGGCAGTGCATCCGAGGTAGCTAAGTTCTTCGTCGAAAATATCGTCCTACGTCACGGCGCTCCGGAGGTCCTTACCACCGACAGAGGAACGGCATTCACTGCCGACTTAACTCAAGCGATCTTGGCATACAGCCAAACAAACCACCGCCGGACGACCCAGACCAACGGCCTCACCGAGCGGCTTAACAAGACGATCGCCGACATGCTGTCAATGTACGTCGATGTCGAACACAAGACGTGGGACGCCATTCTTCCGTATGTGACCTTCGCATACAACACGGCGGTGCAGGAGACGACGCAGATATCTCCATACAAATTTGTCTACGGAAGGAGCCCGGCAACGACGCTCGATGCCATGTTACCCAACGTCACCGACGAAGAAAGCCTCGATGTGAGCGAGTACCTTCAACGTGCCGAAGAAGCCCGACAACTTGCGCGTCTCCGTATCAAGAATCAACAGACGACAGACAGCCACCGTTACAACCTTCGATGACATTTCGTGGAATATCAGCCCGGTGAACGTGTTTGGATGTGGACGCCGATACGCCGACGTGGACTAAGTGAAAAGCTTCTGCGACGCTACTTCGGACCGTACAGGGTGGTTCGACGTCTCGGCCCACTTGATTATGAGGTTGTCCCCGACGGCATCACGAACTCTCAACGACGCCGATCACGACTCGAAGTCGTGCATGTCGTGCGCCTCAAGCCGTTTCATGGGCGTTAACAAACTGAAACAGTGTTTTTTGTATTATTGTTTCATCGTAATTTATTCATTATATTTTCTTGCATTATTATTGTACCTTCATCTTTAGTTAAAGCATCGGGACGATGCCTTTTTTTCAGAGTGGGGCAATGCCACGTTCCATTTCCCATGTTTTCGTTATCGTCCCAAAACACCACACGATTTTCAGCGCAAACCGCGCCTGCAGTTTTCCAGAAGGTTCCGGACTGTAGTAGATCATTTCGATAAGATCACGCCCACTGTGCGAACGGTAAAGATTGTTCTGGAACCTACGCCACCGCCAGCGATAACGCTAGAACATTCGATGGCAAGAGCATAAATGCCGACGCGCTTCGCCGCTTGCCAGTTGTTGTTGATCGAAGGCCGACGCTCCGTTCGCCGCTATCAGTCCGAGACTGCTATTTGTGCAAGACTGCTGCTGTAATTGGACTTTCCGTTTACCGGGCACAGGTTCGCCCAAATAAACAGTTAAATCCCGACACGAAGTCTCCTGTCTTCGGCCACGTCACGACCCCGTGACAATATATATATATATATATATATATATATATATATATATATATATATATATATATATATATATATATATATATATATATATATATATATATATATTCTCTTTTTGTCCACTTTTTGCTTGACATTTGACATTTACATTATAACGAGTAGTAATCACTTCTCTTATAGTTTTCTTGGCATTATTGTGTGTTAGAACTCATCAATATTGTGTCAAAAAGAGAAAAACTTTCCCGAATTCATTAGCGAGCGTCTCGTATTGACAGACATGGCTCCTTTAGTTTCCAATACGAGCGATTATTAATCAGCTACCACCAGCTCGTAATAAGTTCACGTGGTACGTGTCGACAAACAGGCTCATGAAGAGTGTTCCACACTTGCCGCCAAGGCTACTGGTGGCGCTGACTGACACTCCACTTCTAATTCACACACACACACACACACAACACACACACACACACACACACACACACACACACACACACCACACACACACACACACACACACACACACACACACACACACACACACACACACACACACACACACACACACACAAACACACACACACAGACATCTATCTATCTATCTCTCTCTCTCTCTCTCTCTCTTTCTATATATATATATATATATATATATATATATATATATATATATATATATATCCAATAAACTGAATGGGGAATAGCCGTCGTGGTAGCTCTGTTGGTAGAGCATCGAAATCGATGATTCAAAGGTCGCAGTTTCTGTTCCTGCCCAGAGCAATTTATCTTTTCGCCCACTTTTCTTTCATCATATATATATATATATATATATATATATATATATATATATATATATTTGTACTAATTCAGACTTTCAAAATTATTTACACCCGCTGATTCTTGGCCAATCCCCTTGAGTGCGGTGTAGGTATAATTATTTCTCGGGCCATCTTTGATACGCCATAATGGCCTTGTAGTTATGGTGCCCAACTGCTTATGCGAAGGTCATGGGATTGATTTCCAGCCTAAACGGCCACATTTTCGATGAAAACGAAAGCGCTTCAGGCTCGTGTGCTTTAATTTAGGTGCACTTTAAAGAATCCTCGATGGTCGAAATTTCCGGGACCCTCGACTGCGGCTTTTATTGTAATCATATAGTGGTTTTAAGACACTTAACCTCAACAATTTTTAAATGAGTATCCTTCAATAATGACCATCATAATAACTTCATTGGCGCCACTGCTCAGTGTGCCCAAGAATCTTCGCCACAGGCGCGCAAGAATATGGCAAAAAATTAAAAAAAAAAACAGGCACTTTACATATGCGTCTTGAAATCAAAACGACGAGTTGCATATCTGACGAACAAGCAAAGCAATTCATCGAGAGCACAAGGGGCTGTGCTTGGCCTGAAAGCATTGGTGGAGCACTGCAGAGCAAGGCTCAGTTTGGTTTAAGTGCGAAGAGTTTAAAGAAGGATGTCGACTGATCCCGCAAAAACTGAAGTACATTTTTTTTACATCGTCTCCTTTACCCGATGCTCTTACTCGTTTTGTTTTGGAGGTTGAGACAATACGTGTATGAAAATTTGTATTTCTTTTTCTCAAGTTTTTGAACTGCAAAAGCATGGTAATGTTTCAAGGAGTGTGGTGTGGGGACCTAATTGATAAGGGTCCTCAAAATGTTCGGAGCCTGTGTTCGAAAAGTCTCTAGTATAAAGTTTTAGGAAAGGTGGCAGCACTGAAAAGAATTCATAAGAAGTAGCTTGTTTTTATTTCTTTTACTGTTTAAGTTGCGCTAAATGCTTCAAACTTCAAGCTGCATGGTTTTCTGTTAGACTGTAACATCAGCGATGTCGTCGACAAGGCTCTGTTGGTTTGACGCTGAGGACACAGCTTTACTAAAACTGAAATTGTGCACGATTTGCAGTGAGTTTCACCGAAATGCGCTTCATACATTTCAAATGTGAAAATCATAACAATAATAATAAATAAGAACGCACCTTTAAGCAATCACCAGAGAAAAGGCCCCAGGTTCGAGCCGTGCAGTCGTGGGATCCCGTGACAACGATATCCTCGGGATCAGAATCTGAGAGCCCATCGGATGGGACGAAGATCACCGGGAAGACGCTCTTCGTGTGACCCTAGAACGAAACACATTTGTGCTACAAACTGCGGGCAAGGTTTGAAACTTTCAATGTTCAATTCACATATTACTTTTTTTTTTCGAAATTTCAGTTTCCTTTCTGGTTTCGCGGAGCAAACTATTAATTACCAAAGAAAAAAGTTTAACCACCCTAAAGACACATTTCGTGCACACAGGTATACAGAGATTGCTTTTGGCGCAAAGTGTAAAGAAGCTGAAGAATATAGTTTCCGTAATTGGTATAATGTATTAGGCAGGTAACCCTGTCGTCTAACAGTCAAAGTGCGCGCATAAAACTGTTTTCATGCGCACCTCCAGAAATGGGAACTTCGTTTGTCAGTTGGGGCAATGCAGCTGCAGAACCTAGACTGACGACAACTACTTGTCTGTTCAGCTCTTTTCGTAGCAAGAGTGGCTCTTCACCGGAAAGTTTCATGATTAAGCTTCTCCACCGCTGCACCCGTAAGTACAACTGGACCAAGAGGAACGAAACAACACTTCTTGGTGGCGCACGTTGCGCCGTTATACACTCTGGCTCCGGATGGTGCCAGGCCCACTGTAGCGGTGCCTCGTTAACTGGGGTAGTATAGGGAACGAAATGAAAAAGTTAGTATGATTATTTATGTGTTTTCAGATGGAAGCAAGCATAATAATAATAATAATAATAATAATAATAATAATAATAATAATAATAATAATAATAATAATAATAATAATAATAATAATAATAATAATAATAATAATAATAATAATAATAATAATAATAATAATTACAATAATAACCGGTGTCAACGTCATTGCTTTCAACTGCGTCAAAAATCTATAGCAATGTTATGTAATGCATGGAGTCTCATTGAGGGGGCCCTGCAACACTTTTTCAAGTAGCCATGGAAGGAATTCACTAAATGAGCTTATTAGGTACCTCACGAATCCAACGCTGCAAACATGTTTTTGGAATCTGTTCAGCACGAGTGGAGGGACAACGACTTGTGGAACACTGTAATTGCATTCTTTCTTCACTCGCCCCTATGGAAGCGCTGGGAGCTAAGCAGGGAGGAATGGCACGGAAAAGAAAATGTGCCACTCGCACCTCGTGACCTTGAGCACTTACTCTTATTTTCTGCTAATACGCGGCTTTTCAGTGCGGTGGCAAGCACACTCGTGGACAAGCCGTGACCTTCCGCGGCGGCCCCAGTAACGGCTGAGCGTGCCATGCTTAATTCAACCAATGGCTGATACAAAGTTTGCGACGCATAATTTTTTACCTTAAAGCGTCATTTATCGAGATAAGAAAAAGCAAGTTATAGGTGAGTTTGAGAGCCTATTATGAATTCCAGGCCACGTGTTACGCTACTATACTTGGCTCGCGTGTTCTAGGAAGCCTCGACTACCGATCGGCAGCGTTTTTTGATCATTCTCAAAAAGTGGGACCCTTTAAAGAACACTAAAGGAAACTAATAAGTCGACATCGATTGTTGGAATAGTGGTCCAGAAACCTTGTAGTGTTATCTTTGCGTCAAATAAGGACTTATTTTGCAATAAAATTCCGTTTTATTGGCCCGCATTGGATCAGCGCACTTAAATTACCCGCGTCATAACGCGGACCGACTCACGTCACTGTTGCCGTGCACAACATTGCCCGGCTTTACTACGTTGTCGCCGACACTAGTAGACAGAACGGAAGCAGTGGGAGCCACAGGAGTAACAACGGCCATTGATAAATTTGCTGCTATTGACTCCGAGATAGCAGACGTGTTTTGGTTTAACTGGGCCCCGCTAGATGGCACGACAAGTGCAGTTTAACCACGTGAAAATTGAATTTTTGAACCACTCGTGCAAAATCTCCATAGTAACGTCCATCGGTTCTTTTTTTCATAAAGCAAACAGAAACGAACAAGCAGGATTTTTTTTTCGTCTCTTGATGCTCGGAAGGTTCTTTATTTAGTGCAGCTAGAGCGATTACTAGCGATTAATCATAGGTGGTGCATCTGAAGTCATCGGTATCATTTTGAGATTGTGCTACTGCGGCGCATGTATTCGTGTGCGTTTACCTTAATTTCTCGGTAAGTAGGGCGCTGATTGATAATATTGTTGTTTTAGATGTCTTCACATATTGAGCTTTCCCTCTGACGTAGATTGTTTTTTGACATTGGTGTCCTTTTGACGCATGTAGCATTGCGTAGTAGGAGTGAAGGACCACGCCAGGCGTCAAGACATGTGAATTGCAGAATGAGTGAGGGGGTTTACAGACCTACCTTTTACAAGGCGCTAAGACATAAATAATTCTCAGCAGCAAAAGCATAAACAAAATGAGAATCTGTGTAGGATCGCGTGTGGCCTTTCGGACGCACAGTGAGTGCTTCGCAGATTCGAAAAAGAAATAATTCGTAGTCGGCACTTCGCAGCAGGGCTGGGCAGACACACTCTGAAAAGTATTCCGGAATAAAGATGTTTAAGTACATGCGCTGCATGTTTAAAATGCAAATACTGATATATATTTGTCTTTGACGTAACGGGATATTTGTGAAATACTTTTGAAAAAATCCCGAAAAGTATTACGGAATACAGATATAGGAACACAGATATAAGAATACAAGTGTTACAATACTTCTTTGATTGTGGGATTACCATTACAGACAAAGAACGTCATACGCGCAGAATAATATTGTGATAATTCTTTCATGACATTGAAACTTGCAACTCAAGCATATTACTCGAATCACTCACGAACAGCAGTATTTATACGAAGTCGTGATGTTGACGAAGAGAGCAGACTTCACGTCGAAGATGAAACTTTATGTGGGCCTAACTTGTGTGCACGCAAAAGGAAAGTCAGAATACAGCAGGACGCTGGCACTGATAGCGGCAGACAGTGCGTCAGCCGTTGATCAACTGGCAAGCGGTGAAGCGCGTTGGCATTTACTCACGAGCAGTCAAATATTCTAGTGACTACGTAGCCCCCAGAACAATCTGTAATGCTCGCGAAGTGGGCGTAAATTTAACGAAATGATCTACTGCAGTCCTGAAGCTTCTCAAACACTGCAGGCGCGGTTTCCGCTGAAAGTTACTGACAGTAAAACGGGGCGATAACATGACCTGGAAAGTGGCAATAACAAGGAAAAGTACACATCTATTCTAGATGCAAAATATGAATGGTTGAGGTGGTTGCTGCGTTGGCTACACCTAAAGTGACACTTAAGTCAAATAACAATTCACGTCAGAGTGAAAGCTCTATGTATTACAACAACTAAAACGACAATAATATCAACAAGAGTGCCCTACTTACCGAGAAATTAAGGTAAATGCACAAGAACACATGCGCCGCCGTAAAACATACTCAAAATTATCCTGATGACATCAGACGGACCACCTACAAATAATCACTAGTAATCAATCTAGCTGCACTAAATAAAAAACATTCCGTGCATCAAGAGACGCAAGAAAAAACTGCTCGTTCGTTTCTGCTCTCTTTATGGAAAAAGGAACCGCCGGACGTTACTAGAGGTTAAGGCGGGAGTTGTTCAAAAATTCAATTTTTGCGTAGTTACACTGGAATGGTGGTGCCATCTAGCTGGGTGCACCATCCTGTATCACCCAGATTGGAAGAAGGCCAACTACTTTGCTACAATCCGCGAAGCCATCGGGGCCTTCCTGTCCAGCTTCCCGGCCACTCGGCGCGTCCGCCTCAAGTTTTGACGTAAGGTGGTCGCAGTGGACGTCCAACCCCTCGCAGATCCTGCACATCTTCCCCAGGTCGCCGGGCCTGCGAGATCCACATCAGGGGGAAACTCCTCGTGAAGAACAATTGCGTGGGCACCACCTACGGCGTCGACGCAGCCCTCGACTCGGCTGACATCGCGGTCAACCTCGTTTCTGCTATCCCTGTCGTCTCCTGTATCCGACGAGGCAGGTGCCTCACGACCACATTGCAGGGCACCACGGTACAGCCGGTGGTGTCCCTGCCCAAACTCCATAGGCCGGTCCACCCTCGACAGCCGCGGCCCCTTCGATGCGCTCGCTGCGGTCACTTCGTCCATGCCACGGCGACCTGCACGCATGACGAACACTGCCTCCGCTGTGGTGGTAGACATGCCAAGGGACCGTGCCCCCTCATCCGTGCGCTGCCTAAATTGCAACAGAAACCATTTGACGAGCGAGCCTTGCTGCCTCTCCTGGCAGCTCCAGCTGAAAGCCGCAGTCATTCTTGCCTCGTCAGACGGCCCTGTGACTCGCCGCCAAGCGCTGGAGTGCGCCCACATCCCTGTGAACAACACCGACAAGCGGGGATGTCGTCAAGGGACTATCTGTACGCGACCCTCCCGCCGATGGCGGTCGAACCACTTTGGAGACCACCCCTCACCCTTCCACGAGTGCACCTGCTGCCTCGCCAAGCACCAGCACGACCTCACCTCCTTTTTCCACCTCGTCAGCTTCATCTATCGATCCGAAGAACGCGGTGATAGCGGCCCTAGCCACCACTTTTCGCGCTGTGCACGTGATGTTGCCGGCTGACTCACCGGTGCGTGGACTTTGTGCTGCGGCCCTTGTTGCACACAATACCACCGTGCCGAGGATTTAGCCGGTGGAATCACGACCACATCGAGGCCATCAGGACTCTCACCCGTGAGTTCAACAGAACTCTATTTTTTTCTGTGCCGGGGCTACGCACCCAGCAGGTGAGTGTTTAGTGCACTTCTGCATTATAAATCGCCTCTTCGGCTGATCATCTTCTTCTTCGGCGAATATTTCCCCCTGACTTTCTCTGCGGCTTTTCCGGATGGTTGCGGTTCTCATGGTGGTTTAGACGCGCGCTGTGAGTAGCGCAGCGATTGTGCATTACTTTTTTTTTCTCCTGTAGCATTTTTCAACCTGTTGAGGTGCCATCTTAAAGCTAGACAGTTACGGGTGGCACTCTTCTCTTCTTTTCCATTTTGTAACCATTTAGAGAGACCGCGTGCGATCGGTCGACGCTCTTCTGACGGTGATACGTGAGAACAACAACCACAAAAGACAGCGCTGTATATGGCCATATACTGTGCAAGGATCACGCCCAGAACGAACGGAGAAACCGTTCCATCCGATAAAATTGACTTAGGACGACTTGATTTGCATGAAAACAAACGCGCTTGGGCCATATAACTGAATTAGCCTGTTTTTCTTGGACCCGCCGCGGTGGCCCAGTGATTATGATACTCAAGTGCTGACCTGCAGGTCGCGGGATCAAATACCGGCTGCGGTGGCCCCATTTACTATGGAGACGAAAGTGATAAATGCCCGTGTGCTTAGATTTAAGTGCATGTTAAAGAATCACATGTGGTCGAAGTTTCCGGAAGCCTCCACTACAGCGTCCCTCAAATCATATCATTGTTTTGGGACGTTGAACCGAACAATTGTTAATATTTGTGCCTGGTTTAATGCACCCCCATACATGTAGATTGTGAAAATGGCGCCCTCTCCCCTACCGAGCTTAGCGCCCACCATCTAGCAGCCAATAAAGACCACAAAATTATTGTTGAAGTTATCGCGCACTTGAATTTCAACCTTCGAAAACAATGGTTCCCTAGCCTTCTCCTGCTACCGGTCCAGACAATATTATATGTGTGTTTGTGCGAAGAAAATAAAACACTTCACTTCACTCTCAGATGTGAATATTTCTGATAACAATTCTATGTCTCTCATGCGTTGAATCTGAATTTTCTGATCTCACCAGTGTGCTGTTTGCTCCCTCTCGTTCTTCATGACATCGCGTTCCGTTCTGACACAGAACATATATAAAAACATATAAACGTCATCATGAACTCCAGTAAATTGAAGTGGCGGAAAATGCACGTTCACCTTGTTGGTGATCAGAGCAGCGAAAACCAAGGCATTAATTCATTCACCTGCTAGGTACTTCAATGTTACCCAAGTGAGCCGAGCGAAAGTAAGGCAACCTTGAGATGGTCCTTAATTGAGCATCCCAGTTACGCGAAAGATGATAACTTCAGCTGTGATGACGACGGTCTCAAATGTGGAAACCCTGTTTTCTTAGCCATTCCTATATATTCCACCGCTAAACTTTCACTGCTCATGCCTTCCCTTTGACATATCCAAAGCTGAGCTCTTTGAACGCGGAATAACAAAGAGCTGTTGTTATGGTCTAAATGATTATGATACCCCTTAAAGGGACCTCAGGAGCTATCAAAATAAGCCGCCGGTTAAGACGGTTTAGAAAATAAACGCTCCCATTGTTTTCATGGTATGCAGCAAAGCGTACTCCTTATGTCGGAAGTAACAACTCTAAAGCTTATTCTTGTTTTCTGTTTCTTGTATTTGCTCCTTGATTGGACAGTGTACGCATATTAGCCAGGAGTAGTTCTGATATCGCTCTTTGTGTGATGTATTTTTCACATCTTATAATCAATGAATTAAACGACGCAGAAACCAGACGGCCAAAGCTCTACCACAAAAAAAGCTGTCCTAGAAGAACTCGTGGCATTGCGACATCCCGTTGTGTTTGTCTCGTGAGTGCACCGTAAGGAGAAAAGAAATGGCAGCTGCCGTGTGAGCTCTTCGTTCGGTCGCAGTGGTTCGTACGGTGTGCGTGGCAATACTCCAGTGTAAACAGTAGTGGATATCAAGTGCTGCAAATACCCCCTTGTTTTTATGACCAGTTGTTATTGGCATGGCTGGAGATATTTACCGACACGCGGGCAGTTTGGATGTCGTCACCTTATTGACTATACCGAAGCACCGATCTCCCTAGGCTATATATCTGTATATACGGAGAACGTATCGAGCAAATATTGTTGTTCCTTACTCGAAAGACGGTGATGCGGTCATCGACTTTGCGAGTTCGTGATCTGGAGTCGGCTCCCTCCGAGAATCCTGAGGACGTCGAAGTGTCGTCCCCTCCGGAGTCTTTCGGCACGTTGCTTGCCTGGCTGTCTGGCCGCTTCTTTGTGGCGCTGCTACGCGTACTGCTGCGGCCACTACTTGCAACTTGACGCAGCAGCCGTTGCTCTTCCATTTCCTGAAGAGAGAAACAAAATACCCGACTTCGGCAAATTGTATTGCTTTGAACGTATTTAAGCACGAGCAAATTTACAAGAGACCGTTATGTTTTAAAAAAAAGAACGCAATAGGATTTTGCTTCAGCAGCAAAACTTAAAACAAGCTCGCCTTTTGGATGTGCCACCCCTCAGGGTGCCGTATTGCCGCCTTTTCTCTAAAACCCTCCACTTGCTCCCTGGAAAGCTGGGCTATATCCCAGGTCTTAAACACGCCCTGTACCCTGACGACGTCGCACTTTGGGTCACATCGGGCTCTGAAGACTTGCAACGCGCAACCTACGTCGTCACTTCCGACATGCACACTGCCTGTCTCACTTGCTCGGCAGCCAAATCGGCTCTCCTTCCCACGCAGCCTGCCGACCGCCATCGCTAAAAAACACCTCCCCCTACCAGCACTGTCCATGTCAACTCCACTCCTGTGACCGTCGTTCCCCAACTACGCGTGCTTAGGCTACAGTCCAACAGCCATAACACACACACACCATCGACAAGCTCTCGCTATCGGTACAACAGACCACACGAATGCTCGCCAGTGTCTGTGCGCGCCGTGCGGGCATGCGAGAACATGATCTGTTTCGCCTGGTCGACGCCTTCGTTGTTTACCGCATCCCGTGCGCCCTTCTTTATACTCGTCTTCTCAAATCAGAACGCAACAAGATTGACATCCTCATTCATCGGGCATACAAGACTGCCCGCGGCCTTCCACCCAGCACGTCTACGAATTGTCTTCTACGCCTTGGTGTACACAACACCCTCGACGAGTTGACTGAGGCTATGCGTTGCGCTCAGCTGCAAAGCCCTTGTCGCCACATCCTTTCCTGTATCGGTCACGACTCTTCCTCCCATTTTCTGGATCTGGCCTCATTGCCCCATGCTGTCCAAACGGCCTTCTGCATCAAGCAGTTGCCAGGAATATGCTCGCGGGTCACCACGACGCTCGCCGCCAAGCCTAGGTGACCATTCTTCACGCCAAGTACGCTGACACATGGCCGTTGCCTACGTCTATGGGGCCCGTTACAACTAACTCAGGGACGCCTTCACAGTCATTTCCGTGTCGTCCACGTCAGTGCTTTCTGGGCCTACAATCGTGGCCGGCACCATTCAAACCCCCTATACGCCGTCGAAGCGGAGGAGGTGACCATCGTTGGCTCCAGCCTCGGCCGACGCTCGCGTCATACTGAGCGACTGCAAAGGAGCCATCTCGAATTTCCGCGAGGTCTTGTCTCACTTACTCCTCCACCCGGTACAGCAGCAAGATGAGCAGCGCCATTTTGAACTGATCTGGGTCCCCACCCACTCGGGTCCCCCCGGTCATGAGAGAGCTCACAAACACGCTCGAAGATTCGTCAACCATATGGTGGGCCCCTCAGAGTCGGGCGCCCTGGCACCGTGGCCCCTGGTGACTTACCATGACATTATCCAGCACTATCGCCTCGAGCGATACACCTATCTACCCCCTCACGTCAGTCTTCCCATCTGGTCTGATGTCGCCTTGCGTCGCCTACAGACGTGCACCTTTCCGTGTCCTCTCGTCTTTTCCTACATCCGCCCAGTCATCTATCCATGCTGATGTTTATACGGTGGTATGGCTTCACTGAACCACATCCTCTGGTTATGCCCGGAAGATCGCCCGCCCACCGATCTCTTTTGCCAACCTCCCATCGAGGAACACAGGGATGTTATTCCATGCAGCGTCGACAGGAACATCTAAGCGCGTATCCTGGAACGAGCGCAAGACGTAATTGAGAGGCATGGCTTGGCAACCTACTTGGCTTAGCCTCGCTCATCCTTACCCGCCGTGGTGGTATAGTGGCTAAGGTATTCGGCTGCTGATCCGCAGGTCACGGGATTGAATCCCGGCTGCGGCGGCTGCATTTCAGATGGAGGCGGAAATGTTTTAGGCCCATGTGCTCAGATTTGGGAGCACGTTAAAGAACCCCAGGTGGTCAAAATTTCCAGATCCCTCCACTACAGCGTCTTTCATAATCATATTGTTACGAGACTACATCACGCTGAAGAATCAAGACAGACAGCGAGAAAGACGACGTGATTCTGGGATGTGGGGTACGCTCTGGCTTGCCATCTCGACTTAGGCTTGGCGGAATATATCTTAGCTGTAACCTCGTTTCTCTGTGTACCCTCCCGTAACATTTTGGTGGAGGTGCAGGGTAGCAAAGCACGACGGAGCTTCGCAGCGGACGCCAAGTTGCCGCTTCTAACATGTCTACCGACAGGGATGCTGCGCCAACAGCCACGCCTCGCGCATCAACGGCGCCCACCTCACATGTGGCCAATGTGACCACTCCACCCCGTGATCCTGGCAACTTTTCGGGCACTGATGGCGAAGACGTCGAAGAGTGGCTTCAGCTCTACGAGCCGGTGAGTGAAAACTAAAGATTGGACCCAACCATGATGCTGGCAAACCTTACCTTTACTTGAAAGGGACGGCCAAGGCGTGGTTCAACAACAACGCGGAAGAGCTCACCAGCTGGGACGTCCGGAAGACGAAGTTGCGCGAGTTGTTCGGCTAATCTGCCGGGTGCAGGCAGACCGCTAAGAAAACTTGATAACCGTGTCCAGACATCCACGGAGTCTTACCTGGCATATATTCAAGATGTCTTGACCCTCTGCTGTAAAGCTGATAACACCATGGCCGAAGCCGACAAGGTTGCACACGTACTCAAGGGCATCGCTGATGATGCCTTTAGCCTTCTTGTATTTAAAGGCTGTTCGACAGTTCAAGACGTCATTAAGGAGTGCCGAAACTTCCAAGAGGCTAAAAGCCATCGCATTGCACACCACTTCACCCGTCTTCCTAACACCGCTGCAACATCAACTTGTGAGGATCTCCATTTTGAGACCCTGCCCAATCCACCCTCTGCTGACATTGCGAGGGTCGTTCGACGCGAAATCAAAGCGATGTCACCAATACCCTTGAGTGTCCTGACGGCGAACGATCCTCAGCCCACCATATGCCTCATACAGAGCGTTGTGCGCCAAGAATTGGCAAACGCGGGCCTTCACACGATTTGTTCTGTGCACCGACCCGATGTCCATCCGCCTACCTTGAACACACGTCAGCACTACCGGCGTAGTGCTCCACGTAACCGAGATCCAAACGCATGGAGGACGCCTGACGACAGGCCAATTTGCTTCCGTTGCGAACGAGTGGGACACATTTCGCGTCATTGCCGAAGCACGTGGATCTGGCCCTCGCGCACAAACCCTAACTTCACGAACTTCGACACATCAGCCCGCCCTTCTAGCCAAGAACAAACCCGCCGTGATGACTCAGCTCATTCCGACATGACCGCCACGACCAATGCCCAATACAGCCGCTCGCCTTCACCACGACGTAGATTCTCGCGGTCTCCTCCGCCACCCCGTTCCCCATCCCCGTCCTTCGCCCGACGGTTTCCTTCGGGAAACTAACTGGTGCAGCTCCTGGAGGAGACGATGCTGCTACGACTTGCCCTACAATTCCTCTGTTGACCCTCCCGACCAACCAGAACTCGATTGAGCTAAAAGTGGATAGTTTACCTGTTAAAGCTTTAGTCTACACTGGCGCCGAAATTTCTGTTATGAGCTTGAAGGTTCGTGACTGCTTAAAGAAAGTCTTGACTCCAGCCCCTTCACGATGTGTTCGGGTTGCTGATGGCAGTGCAACTGCCGTCGTTGGTGTCTGCACAGCACGCGTTACTATAGCCGGACATCAAACCTCCGTCCTCTTCAATGTTCTCACCAACTGCACCAATGATGTTATCTTCGGTATAGACATTTGTCCGCCCATTCGGCCCTCATTGACTGTTCAGCTAGCACGGTGCAACTTGACCAGCCCTGTACGCCTGATACGCCCAGTCCGCCCCAAGTTCGTCTCTGCTCTTCTGAACATGTCCGTTTGTCACTGCAAACAGTTACCTGCATTGCCGTAACAGCGTCGCCACCTGTACCTGATGGAGACTACGTGCTCACGCCCATTACATTCGTCCTTCTGCGTGCAGTGTTACTTTTCCGCACACTATTATTACATTACGAGAAAACCGTGCTTGCATCCCTTCGCTGAACTTTGCTCTGTGTCCGCAAGTGCTTCCGTGTGGAATAGCTTTCGCCACGCTGACACCCTCTGAGGATTGCGTCATCTCAGCTTCGTACCCCAATGATGTGCGTCGCCCCAACTGCATGCAAGCTTGTTCTTCGACAGAGAGTTCATCTTCAAATGTGGAAAAAATGATCGAGGTGGACCATTTGCCGCATCAAAATGACGTGCTCCGTCACGTCCTGGAATCGTACTTTGACGTATTCGACTTCTGTGACCGTCCGCTAGGTCAATCGAGCATTGTGAAGCACCGCATTAACACTGGCGATGCATCTCCGGTACATCGACGGCCGTACTGCGTTTCTCCTGCGGAGCATCAGATCATTCAAAAGGAAGTCAAGAAGATGCTCGCCAAAGACATAGTTGAGCCATCTTCCAGTCGATGGGCTTCCCCTGTTGTTCTTGTAAAGAAAAAGGACTACAGTTGGTGATTCTGCGTCGACTACCGACATCTGAACCACATCACTAAGAAAGACGTCTACCCGCTACCGCGCATTGACGACGCCCTGGATCGCCTTCATGGCGCCAAGTATTTTTCCTCCATCGACCTTCGCTCAGGGTACTGGCAAATTGCTGTCGACGACATGGACCGCGAGAAGACTGCTGTTGTGACCCCTGATGGTCTTTACCAGTTTAAGGTCATGCCGTTCGGATTATGCAATGCCCCAGCCACCTTCGAACGAATAATAGACACTCTCTTACACAAGTTCAAGTGGTCAATTTTCCTACGTTACCTCGACGACGTCATTGTGTTTTCCCCGACCTTTGAAACAAACCTCGACCGCCTTTCCTCCATTCTTTCTGTTTTTTCGTAACGGAGGACTGCAACTGAACTCATCGAAGTGCCACTTCAGACGCCAACAA